TTTGAAATAAATAATAATCCAGCAGAGTCAATAATTCTCTATTTACATTTATATTTTATGAAAAACTTTGTTCCATCTTCCAAATTCTAACGCCAACCTTCCGATCATTTAAAAATGTCAGCCATCAAACAAAAACTACGCGAAGATCTGTTCCGAGTTTTATTGCTGGGACCCAGTAAAACAACGCTGCGTCAGCCAAGGAGGGGCTGCCATGCCTGGAACTTCATGTGGTGACAAAATGTGGTGCATCAATTATCAATGCGTTAAGGACCCTAGGGCACCCGCTGCTCAAGGTTCAAAACTTTTTGTTAAAAATGATTTTTCATTCATAAATGTCAGTTGTTTGAGAAATTATTTTTATTGTGAAATGAATTATAACGTTTGAATGTTTTGTTGATAAAAATTGCGACCTAATATTTTAGAGAAAAATCATTTTTAAACAAATAATTTTGTACGAATTATTGATAAAATATTTGTATAAAGACAGTTAAGTCTAATTTATAATGTTAGTTCCATCAACACGAACATGCATGTATCTACATTGAAATGAATCATAAATATGAAATAAAAAAAATGATTTCAGATTCATGTTTGTTTGGCGATTCACCAGTCACAATTGATATGAATTATGACCCATTTACCTGCGCTGATGTGGCGGGGAACCCACAAAGATATTGCACTAGGCAGTTCGTTAGGGATGACTGCTGTAACGCCTGTAGTGGATTTAAGGAAGGTTTTAAAACTTTAAACTTTCCACTTTCATCATAAAATGTCTTATTTTTTCTAGTTTGAAGTTCGAATTTTTCACAAACATTGTCCACAGAGACCATCGAGCCAACACAAGCTTCAACGACTCAGAGACCAACTACTACTACACAGCCACCATCATCGAATGAATGCGTGGCGGACGCGCGACCAGATTGGTGCAGCGAATTAATTACACCGTATCATAAGAGACTAAATTGCAAAAATTATGCTGTGCCCTGTTGCAAGACCTGTGAAGACTATCTTTGTTAGTTTCTAAATGTTTTTGAATTTAAATAAATTTCGTCATTCAAAGTTTAATAATATTTGTACGTGTTTTGTTAATAATTTTTTTATATTTTTATTTAGGGTTTCGCAAATGATGACAGTTAAAAAACTTCTTCCAGGCAAATTGTTTAAACTTTCATTACTGAAATGAATTATAAGACCTATTTTTGTTGATCTCGAGATTTCTGAATTTGTTGGTGACAAGTGATGAAAAAAAAATTTTAATAATAAAATAATAAGTTGTACGCAATTGATGTTTATTTAGTTTTGTTCTCCACACTTAACTTGAAAATGAACGAAAACTCAAACAATAACAAAATAGTGAACAACTTCGTTAAGAAATTTAACTAAATACTAAATTCAAACAATAAAATGTTTAATTAAAAAAACTACAAAACAAAATCTAGCTAAAAAAGTTGAACTTCGAACTTTTTATCCAAAAAAGGCTGGCAGGTAAATTTGTGAGTTCATGCCTTAGTCAGACCATTGTTTTTGAGTAGGTGCAGTTTTTTCTTGACCTCATTAGACATTGTATCTGAGCCCCTATTTGTGTGACTCCCATTAAGATGAGGAAAAATTTTTGGGTTTGGTGTGAGATTACCACATGTCGACTTGTTTTATAAAAATTTTCGGAGATAAAATAATATCAAAATGAATGTTCCAGAAAAATCTAGATTAAAAAAATTAATTGATGCAGAATGATTATTTAATGCACAAACACTGAGTCTCTATATCAACACCACACATACCTTGTTATGTTTAGCACCATTTAAACAATTGTTCAATTTTCTTATTTAAAAATAGATATAATTATTATTAATATAATAGTAATAATAACAACAATAATAATTATAATAATCATAACAATAGCAACGATAATAATGATAGTATTAATAATATTAATGAACTGTCCCATGTTCATCTGACTCCAGTATGCAAAATAATCAAAATTGTGAAGCAGCAAATCACGTGACACACGAAAAATCACGTGACAAACCTCTAAAAACGGCTAGCACAACCAGCTTGTCCCATCCGTCGACTTGCAAACAAACTCCCAGCTGGTCGTATGCATCGCAGCAGAAAAGTTTTCTTGTCAAAACAGTGGCGACAAAGTCACGAAACTACAGTTAACCATGACATCAAACAAAGTCTTTCGAGCAGCAAGACATATAATATATATTGAGATATCCACAACCACTCACAAACCTCATGCTGAAATTCGTTGCTGCAATATCTATGGTACAATTTGTTTATGTTACTACTACTACTACTACTACTACTACTACTACTACTACTACTACTACTACTACTACTACTACCACTACTACTACTACTACTACTACTACTACTACTACTACTACTACTATTACTATTATTATTATTATTTTTATTATTATTATTATAATTATTATTGTGATAGGAACACTGCGTAAACTATTTTTAAAATATATTTCTTACTCCTATGCACTTACCTTTGGCAAGGAGTATGGGAGGATCGTGCATAACAATATTAACAATTTATTACAATATTAACAATTTATTACAATATTAACAATTTATTTTATTTTATTTTGTCTATTTTGATTTGATTTTATGTCTTCTGCAATAATAAAAGAGTTCAAATTATTATTATTATTGTTATAACCGACCCCTTTAACTTGTAGGGTATGGTTATTTCTCTTTACGTAGATTCTTGACTCCTGAACAGAATTATTTCAGATGACTTAGTCGTCAGTAGTTAAGCTTCTCTTGTCAGACTAATTACATTGAATTCTCTAGCACTGGTATTCTTTACTACAGTGAGTTTCCAGCTACCAAATTTTTACCTCTGTCACCAGTGTGTAATACCTGAAGACCCCACTTCTAGCACCTGTGTTGTAACCTCTTCGACCTCGTAACTACCAACACCGATGTTATAGCTTTAATACTCGCCATATCTCTAATACCGTGTTGTAGCTTACAACGATAGTCAAGAGTTCGTTTATCCGTAGATTTAAGATTTCCGATAGATGAACACAACTACTTTAAACTCAAACTAAGTTGAACGTCCCCTTCTTATCTATTCTCCTCATTCTTGTGTGTCTGTCTTCGTTCTGTTTTTCTGTCGCTCCTCCTCTTGTGTGTCTCTTGGCGTTCATTATATAGCTACAGATCAGCTGGTGAATGCGTCACATGCCGTGTCACGTGACTTTTTTTAACAACCGTTTTAATTATTTACGCAATTTCTAACTACTAGTTCTTATCTCGGCTTCACGTCTGTAATATTATTATTACTTAGCACTCATTGAATAAACTTTACATAGGTAAACATCGACGATAATACGGATGTGGAAATATTGACCAAGCATTATAGAAACTCAATGAAATGGTAGGTTTTATTGTAAACAGTGGAATGTTCTTGTTAGTATCGTTTGAAAATAAGAAACAGTCTATTAAAAAGAAAACTGTTTTAAAATATTTGTAACGAAAATAATTCTACGTCGTATTTAATATATTATATAAAGGGATGCAATGGCAAGCATTTCAATTACATTAAATAATCACTTTTTATAATATTTATGTTATTATTTTATTAGAAGTGATACCATGACTGCATTAATTATGGTCTTTTACCAACATATATATATATATATATATATATATATATATATATATATATAATAACAGAATTTATTACAACTTACAGAATATATTTCAGAACAACTCCCATCTCAAATTCACCATCGAATTTAGCACCGAAAAACAATTGGCCTTTCTCGATTGCTTAATTGAAGAAAAAGAAGGACAGCTAACTTCGAGGGTTTATGTTAAACCGACTAATTCAGGTCAGGTCTTAAATAATCATTCGGACTGCCCCGACCGCTTTAAAAACAACGTCATCTATAACTTCATTCATCGGGCATACAAAATCTCTTCGGATATCAATATTTTCAATACAGAACTGATTCGCATAAAGCAGTTTCTCATCAACAACAACTATTCCAACCAATTAATAGATAATACCATAAAACATTATATCAACAAAACAAATAATCCTATAACTCCAACCTCGACAAAAACAATTATACCTCTATATTATCTCAATCAAATGCATGACAACTACAAAGTTGATGAATCAATGCTCAAACGTATCATCAAATCCAATGTCTCCGTTCCCAACGAAAGCTACCGACTGAAGTTCATAATTTATTACAACACCAACCGAACATCCAGCTTTATCGTTAAAAATAACAACACACGTCCCCCCAACAAACTAGAGAGAACCAATCTCGTATACCGATTTTCTTGTCCCGTGCCACCTGTGTTGTGGAGAGTTATATCGGCCATACGAGAACTACTCTCTCTAGAAGACTCACCATGCATACACAGAATGGTGCCATTAAGGACCATATGGAACGGGTACATCATCAACCGCTTACGAGGAACATATTGGATCCCAACACAACGATCCTTGATTATGAACCCGATCCAGTTCGCCTTAAAATTAAAGAAGCCCTTCATATCAACAAGCATAAACCCTCACTCAATAAACAATATAACAGCTTTGATCACACTTTGCAATTGTTTTCTCAATATCACGATCTCACACCTACTGTTGCCGTTGGGGTTGATCCACAGGATCTGCGTGTACCACAACGATATGAATATCATTCTACGTTGAATACATTTCAACCCATCAACACGCAGTTTGTGACCCAGCGTCATCCGACAACCGTCATTGCGTCGTTGGATGTATTATGTGATACTTAATACTTGATCTATACATCGATATGTATCTTGCATGTACATATATGTATTTATATTTAACTATGTATCCGTGGGTCTGATGTGGAAACTCGTATCACACATATTCAACCGCAATAGTTGTATTCACAACGCATACACAGCAATATTATATATCTGGCGCACATGTCATTCGTAATTAGTTTTCACTAACGTTTTTCAAACATGTTAAAACTTTTATAAAATTTCTATATTTTAATTATTTTACTAAACATTTTATTTAAATTACATTATTTTATTTATATAATCTACATAAACTTTAGTTATTATGATATTTACAACAAGGTTAATTTATTTCACAATTTAATACATATTTTATTTTCTATATTTTCACATTTTACATTAGGCATTTATTTTAATTAAATTATATGTTTAAACAATATTTAGGCTCTGAAGATGGCATTACGCCGAAACAGCGCTGTTAGCTTTATTCCAGTTTTAGATAAATATGAACTCAAACAATACCGCCTCGTTGAATGTCTTATAAAGAAGTTAATTAATGCAAAATGGGCAAACAATTTCAATGAAATTTGCATTTCTGAAAACCTCGTTCCTAAATATATATATATATATATATATATATATATACGTATGAGTGAATATATACATATATTCGGTAGAATTTGTAGAATATTGTAAAAATTGTGGTCTATTACCAACATACACACACACACACACACACACACACACACACACACACACACACACACACATATATATATATATATATATATATATATATATATATATATATATATATATATATATATATATATATATATATATATATGAGTGTATATGAGTGTATGTATGTATGTGTGCACATATATTGAATGCATGAGTAGCGATGTCTACTAAAGGAAATAGAATAACATTTTTTACCTCCCAAAAATTCAGTCGTTCCGCAGAGGTGACATCGAGGTTTTAAAGTTGATAAATGATTCGATAGTAATTAATTGAACCGTTGAAGCCGCATTTTCCACAACACAATCAACATTCCTAACAGAGTTTTAGCAATAAATGTTAAAATTGTAAGATAAAAGTCTTCAATTGCTTTTTTTTACAAATATATTTTCATAGTCACAAACGTTTCCGAAACCAGAAATAATTTGTTTAAATATAATGAATCTCCACAACGTTTTATTGATTATTATTTTATCTATTTTGATTATGGAAAACCATTGTCAATCTGTAACCCCAAATCCAACTACTCTGCCATCATCACCATAGTTGTTATCACTCCCTTCATCGTCAGCACTCTCCATATTCAAACCAATCCTGGACCCACAAACAAACACACCGGCCTGTCCAGAGGAATCACCGACCAACCAAGCAACAGCAACTCATAAAGTAGAGATGTGTGAGGCAGTGTGCGCTTACAACTGCCACAGAGATATCAACTGCATGCACTTCCGCTACTGTTCTGCAGCAATTGAAACACAAACTGTTGGTTGTATGCCGGTGATGAGGGTAATGCTCTCCAGCGTTTCGTTCATCTTCCAAACTGTAAGTGTTTTAAGGTTAGTTCAACAATATTCATACAAATTGTTACAAATTTAATAAACAATTAATTTATGAAAATATTTAAGTTTTACAATAACGTTAGTTGTTTAATATTGTTTTTTTTGCAGAAAAAAATATTGTTTCCATTGATAAATTCGTCTTCGTTGTCGTCAACACAATCACCATTCTCGTTCCCACTATCATCAATCTTAACACTGCCCCAACCACCACCATCATCATCAACATCATTATTATCATCATCATCATCAACATCTTTATCATCTTCAATGGAAACAACATCGGCAACAAACTCGAAAACATTAACAGCAAGTGAAGCATCAACATCAAAGATGGAAACTTCAGAAAGTGCAAGAGTGGAACTGCCACCAACTGAAACAGCAACATCATTTAAGACAACAAAATCAGCCAACCAATCAATAACAACATCCACAACAACAAGAGTAACTTATTACAGTTGTCATTCAAACAACCCTTGCTCTCGCAACAAAACGGACACCAGGTCGTACCCCAAAAAAGACCCCAAAGGTTACATCACCTGTGATGGACATGGGAAATGTTCCCGGAGAATGTGCAGTGGTGTGAGAATTTTCGATTTTGATTTGCAAACCTGTGTCTAAATTTTTTTCTTGTCCAGCAATTTTGGCGTTACTAAGTTGTCGTTGTATCGGTTGTTGTAACTGTAAAACTAGTTTGCATACAAATTTTTAATAGCTGTTTAATCAGTTTGTTGCGCGGTAGTCTCGCAGAAAGGTTTTCGGTTTTATATTCTTCGTAGCTGTAATAATCAAAAACAATTGTGTCAAGGGAGAAGAAAAACATATTTAAAAAAATTCGATGTTGTTGTTGTTTTGGACGAAAAAGTAAATAAACAAAAATTGAAGACAACATATGTTGAAGCAAATTTGCGTGTAGCTGTTATAATTGCTATGACAGTTTTCTGAAAGAACCTAGCAACAAATTTCACTTCTACACTTTTTCTATCTTTATTTTCATTTTTCCGGCTTCTGCGATATTTGTGTTTTTTTTATTTTAAAGGCTTTTTTGATGTTGTCAGTCTAAGTCTTTTTTAGATGACCTTTTTTTCTTAAAAGCGTTTGATTACTCGCTTCGTTCCTCTTGCAAGAAGCCATGTGTCTCTTAACATTCCTTGCAAGTATATTTTTCCAACAAGTATTACAAATCTTCATATCCGATTCTATTTGTCTGTTTTCCGAACACATAAATCCGGTCGATTCCAACTTGGACGGCTGGCAAACAAGCATCTTTGCTGGCACGTCTAATTCAGTCTGCACAGGGATGCGCACTTCTGTGTGAGCTTCAATACGACAAAACTTCCTGCATGAAAAATGTTTAATAACTAATTTCATCGTTCTATTTTTGTTACCCACGGCGATTTTCCCTTCGCCAAACTTCCACGAGATATGATTGTTCCTGAGCCAATCTAAACCTAAAACAATTTCTGAAACATGATCAGACACCAACACCAACGCTGAATTTGAATAATCATCAACTTTAATTTGCAACTTCATTTCTCCTTTGACTGGAATTTCTGTGTTGTTGGCAGCTTTCAATCTCTTTTCCGTCGGTCTAATCTTTGTGACATCAACCATAGACGTTGGAACAATGGATACACTACTGCCACTATCAAGTAAACCTAATTTTCTTTTGCCATTAATTGTGATTGGCAGATACATGACACGATCGTTGCTTTTAATTGACTTGTTCACGTGATCCACTGTGCTGCTTGTCATTCCTTTCTGCTGGCACTCCCTTACAAAATGACCTGTCTTTCCACATTTGTAACAACCTTTGAAATTCACTTGACTATAAGTTTGAGATTTGCAGGTCTCATTTTTCTGAGGACATTCGACTGCAAGATGACCTGGCTTCTTACAATTGAAACAAATTTTCTCTCGCTCAACTCGGGATACAGTTGGCTGCGCTCTGTTATTTCTGAATTCTTCGAATGACTTTTGAAGGAATGCAATCTGTCGTACCATCGACTCCATGTTCTCTGCTCCTGCTTGTGAATCTTTAACCTGCGGGTTAAACTTGTGAGATGAATCTACCACCATCATTGAAACTTTAAGACGCTGTGCAAACCTAAAAGCATCGTCAATGTTCTTTGGTTCCTTTTCCCTAACCTTTAACTCCAATTCAGCATTTTCGAGGGCTGACAAGAAAAAGTCCCTAGTTAGATGTGTAGCTAATCTTGACTGCTCTCCTGGATAGGCTAATGACATGAGTCTTTTAGTAACCATCGACAACTCTCGTAACCAGGTTTTCGACGAAAAATCTGTAATTCGTACCTGTATAACTCTTCATGACCTCTTGTTCCAAAACGATCTTCTAGCTTAGATACTAGCTCTTGGTAACTTAAACCTGTTAAATTCCAGAAAACATGTGAAGCTTCACCTGTTAACGAACATGACAAATACGCTTCCATGTCTACGAGATTCCAATTATTGTACCTGGCACATATCTCAAACTTTTTTAAGAAAGTTTTGAGACAACCGGTGCCATCAAATCTGTCAGGTCGAAGCAATTGTCACGCTCGGTACCTATGCGCAATTGATGAACCTGAGACTTCAAACCAGTTGAATGAAGCGGTTCCCGACTGTCACACGTCGACTCGTGTTCAACTGTGTCTCTCTCTCGCTCGGTCGCACTGCCCTTGTTGATGTTACCTGAAATTTTATTTTGCCGTCCATCTTGTTCGGTTTTTTAATGATTGCCGCTGATCTACTGGACGCTAATCGCTACTCATTCAGTCCAAAATTCTGCGACTTTGGATCACCCTGGCACCTAAAACCTGAAACATCTTGTGTGGGGATAAACCTGTAACCTAAATTGTTCCCTGAAAAATCAATACGCGGGTTTATTTCGTGCCTGTCAACAATTTCGAAACGATTGTTGTTTAAAACAATTTCATTTTGTTGGTGGCGAGCGTTAAAAGTCTGCTCGAGGTTGATTTTCGATCCTCTTTTGGTTCCTGTGACCTAATACCTAAAAAGTTTCTTGTTGTCGGACATGGCACCTGTTACCTAAAAAATTTGGAGAATCACCTTGGCTTCTGCTGCGCCTAAAACCTGTATTGTTTGAAAAAGAAACCCACGTTGGGCGCCAATTGTAGATTTTCGCCGGGCGACATTCGAATTCCGCACCGCGCGGTCCCGAACCACGTCCACATACGAATATTCACCCGAGTCTTCCCCTCGACGGAGTCTTTCCTGGCCGGGATCCGCCACTCTACAATAGACCCTTTAAGAGTCTGAAAACACGGGCCGGGCGAAAGTTTGTTTGCGCCCTGCTTGTTGACTAGAGACGCCAACTTCGTCAACTATCAGCAAGTCTTCTTCGACATACATTATTTTAGGTAAAATAATTAAGCCGAGCCAAATTTCAAGTGTACACTTCTTTTATTCAATAAAAGAAAAATAAAACAAACAAAAATAGTTAAAATCAAACCTCTGTCTTTATAAACAAGCGATAAATCCAAAATTAACAATTTAATAATAATGTAACTATCAGGCAGACGAAACCAAGCTAGAAACAAAACCTAAAATAAAAACAACGAACGACGACCCTCTATATCTCAACTCGCGACCTTTTATAAGTTTTTACCGCCCTATCTACATAACGCTTTCTATATCATAGAAAATTCTATACTCCCTTCTATACTTTTTTCTATAATCAGAACAGCACGTAGCACGCGTCGCATATATTGCTATACTCCCTATAAACAAAACAGCACAGAGCAAGCGTCGCATATATAGCATATCAAATAACAAAATATACATACATAGAATGTCTATTAAAACATATAGATATATACAGGCGGCACGCCTCAAAGATACAATCATTATCATCGCAATCGTCACAATTTCACAAAATATACAGGCGGCATATTTCAATCGCGCAATCATTATCAACGCAATCGTCACAACTTCACATATGTATGTTAATTTGTATATACCAAGTGACCCATTTGGGTCACTTGGTATATACAAATATATATATTTGTATCATATATGTGTGTATATATATATTTGTATCATATATGTGTGTATATATATTTGTATCATATATGTGTGTATATATATATTTGTATCATATATGTGTGTGTATATATGGATAATAACACTTAAGAATCAAAGATAGATACACTTCACAAATACATTTTATATAACACATATATGCACACACATTTACATATACATGTATGTTTGTGTGTGTAAGTGTAGACGTGCATACATTGAACTAACATTCTTTATTCAAAAACTGCTGAGATAATTAGTAGAAGTTGCTTGCTTCGCTTTATCAACGTGAACCACAGAGAGACACAGCTGTGGTCATTAAATACACATACATACGCACACACGTTCATATATGCAAACAAACGAAAAAAAAAATTTTTTTTTCTGAAAATTTTTGAAAATTAAAAATTTAGTTTTGAGGGTTGTTTTTTTAAAATAACGCACTTGAATCCGCATCCGCGGTAAACCGCACAGACAAAATCCGCAAACCGCAAAATCCGCGGAGTTTTGAGAATTTTTTATTCGTGTAACCACCACGTTTGAAACCGCATTGCGATTATCCGCTTGGGGCTCTATTGTGTACTTAATTTTTAGTAGATCTTCATTTTGTTCCTATTTTATTTATTAGTATATAGACAATTTGACATAATAACATACAATTGCAACTACAATTACTGTAAAATAACAGCAACAATAACAGAAACAAAATGTAATAAAGTACCAAAAAGCAGATTCATTCGTTCCTATAATGAGCTGATAGTAATTGTTGTGAAAGAACTCATTAAATTTTCAAGAGCGTGTTCATACAAAATGCATGCGCCAGTTTTAAAGAGCTTCGATAAACAGAAAATTGTGGGATTAATGTATTTTAGTGTCAAATAAGCTTTTAATTATGCTGTCTGGTCTATTTTTCATCTATAATTTATCTATAATAATCTGAACAAAATAATTCTTTTATTTTATGAAAAGTTTTCTATATTTATTACGCTATATATAACGTTTGTGTAATTATTTGTTTGTGTGTGTGTGTGTGCGTGCGTGCCTGTGCGTGAGTCTGAGTGTGCGCGCGAATGGTTCTGTCTAAGTGTGTGCCCATCTGGTAGTGTGTGCTTCTATGTTAGTGTTTGTGTGTACTAGTCTGTGTGTGTGTGTGTGTCCGTCTGTGTGCCTTTTTGTATTTTTGAGTGTGTTGTGTGGGCAAATGTGCATGCTTTTATGTGCACTTTTTGTCGTGTACTCCAATTAACAATTTAATTTTAACATATTTTTTTAAAATGTACAATCAATATTTCAGTAGTAACAGACTACTGTTTTGTTAGCATATGTTGTTTTCATGCTTACTGACTGTCACATGTTTCATGGTGTTATGTCCGAACGTGATGCGTTGAACGTCGCTGGTTTTGAGATGACGCTCGTGATTAACATTTAACTTCATCGCAATTTAATTTCGTGTGATCAAAATAAATAGCGACATAATCAAAATGTTTGTTGGGTTTGGAGATTTGAGAATTGTTGCAGTTCTCTAAATTTTTTGGTAACTTTTATACACAATTTTAAAATTATTGTTTTTTTTTTGGAAT